GTATACTGAATAAAATTATTAATTTTAATTTTCGGTACTTAAAAGTAGCTAGCGACCTCTAGTGACATAAAATGGGTATTTCCGTATCGAAAGTGTATTTAAAAAAATATAACGAATTTCTTTATCGCCCGTATTTTAGCCATTATTTTCTAGTTTATTTGTGAATAATATAACATTATCCATAAAAGCATTTTCGTTATTACAAACTGTTAGAAATATTTTTAACTGAGATATAATGATACCTTTTAACATCATACGTGGAATAACGCTATTGGCGATGGATTGACCAAGAATGGAAGTCCCCTTTCTTATAAAAAATAGTCAGCTTTGTTTTGACTTCTATTAAATTAATGTCCAAGTCTGAATAGTTGGCATGAACATCATTGTTATTGCTTTTCTTCATTGCAAGTTGTTTCGGATATATTAAGTTTGGTGTAAAATTCAAGTTATTTATGGCAATTAAATCATCTATGTAACGAAAAGTGTATGTTAGGATTTTAAACCTGTTTCAAAAACGAGTTTTCATAAAACAACAAATACAAATTGGCCATACTTGAAGAGAATTTTGCTTCCATTGGCATACCCACTGTTTGTTTATATACATGTTCATTAAAAGTAACGTTACCATTATAAACACAAAAATGATGTATATTTTTTATATTTAACTTTAGTAAATTTAAGTTTTGGAAAGTGTATTTCTGTATTTACAAAATTATTGAACAAGTCATTGAATACTCTGATTAAATCTTTCAAATCTGTTTTAGTAAACATTGCAGTAACATTAAAATAATAATAATAACGCATTCCCGCATCCCACAGTTTGAGAGCCGCTGCTCTAAACCAGTGGTTCCCAAACTCTTTTAGATGAGGCTCCCTTGATATGAATAAAAACATTTGAGCCCCCCACCACCCTATAACCATTCTTATTAACATTTTAAGAAAAGTATACCAAATGTAGACTAACCTGTCTTACGCCTACACTATATGTGCTTAAGTGTGAAAACAATCAGTCAGTACTCCCTCGAGTCTCATTAACGACTAATGTGGTTGTCCCTCCCTACCCACCCCCCACTCCCCCACACACACTACTTTAGCATGGTGATTGAAAAACAGTGTCGTAGTAAAATCAATTAACAATTCCTTTCGACTTACTGTATCAATTAATTAATTAATTATAATTTTCGCTTATTGTTTATTTAGAAGTTAATTCAGCATCTTTGTTTTCGGCCCATTTTTGGCTGCTACCCAGAAAAATCTTCACGGCTCCCACTTTGGGAAACACTGCTCTACATTATTAGAATGAATCACAAATGGGGTTAAAATGTAATGATAATTCTAAAAACCCACAGTTAAAAAAAGTTAACCACAATACATCTGCCATTTGCAGTTCCGATGTGCCCTTTTGATAGCTACCAGGACTCGTCAGGCTGGCTGGGATACGACAGACATAATAATATCTACACCAATTGTTAGGATGTGAATCATATTCAGAAACTGAATTGTATTAATTATTATTATTAAGTCATTTTACAAATGAGACTTTTATTAGCTAATAATAAATAACACATTAGGAATAACATGGTTTTTATTATCAACCGATTACATTAAACATAAGCAGAAGCTTGTGAAAACATGACTCGCGAAAGACAGTAGAAAGTTATTTTTTTTTATTCGTAAAATAATAATATTCACATTACGGACGGAAACTGTAACCGTTTAATAAGACTGTAATCACAACGTCAATTCTGGATAGTTCTGAGACCAACTTAATGCCCGTTACTCTTACTCGGAAGAAAGAAAAAAATTATGATGTTCATTTTTCACGCTATTCTATATCTTCTCATAGTAAAAATAATTTGTTTTTATTTATTGTCTTTAGACACCATTTCGTTTGTAATATTTCAACGTCTGACGTTACGTAGACAACTGCACGTGGAAATGAAGGTATAGAAACTACCTCTAGTTGTATTGGTATAACTATTACCGAAGATCGACGTTAGAAACTCTGCTATTTTTTGTGTGTGTGTGTAAAAGTAACTGCACTATTTCGTCGCTTGAAACACATACTTTCTGCCTTTAACACAACATATTGACAAGTTACTCAAGCACTTCTTTCTAGAGTACAAGATGCTGGGCAGTTCTGCCTGTTCTACAACCTACCGACGAGTCGCTCGAGCATTTCTATCTATAACACCAGATGCGGTATTTTTTATTTTATCTAAAATAGCCTATCGACAAGTCACTTGAGCATTTCTTCCTATAGCACGAGCTGTAGACAAGCCATTCAAACATTGCTTTCTCGAGTACAGGAATGTTGGGCAATTCTGCCTGTAATACAACCTATCGATAACTCAAACATTTTTGTCAATAACAACTCGTATTCAAAGACAACAAGTGAACGATCAGTTACTCATTTTATAAATATGTCTCCGCAGCAGATGAGAGTGGGTGAAAATTACATGATATTTCTTGTAAGAGAAGTTGGGTGCGATTCCTCAACATCATATGAACGAAGTAACAGGTGTGTGTTATGATGAGGTCGTTCATCGTTTCAAGTACTCATTGAGAATGGTGTATGTTCCATAACCAAAAGTAAAACTAGCTCCGTGATTTTGCACGTGCGCTTTCTCGCCTATCCCAATGTAGACTTGCTTCTGCAACGAACCACAGGTTCTGCTTTCACGTGTAAGTTCCAGAACTATCGAAGGTACAAACGGTTTCAAATCAAGAAAGGAAATGGAATTTCCATAACACCATTGACTGGTGAGTTGTTAGGAAGTAAGAAATACGTGTGGAAATCCATTATCGAAACTGTGAATACTGTCTAAACTTATTGTTGCATCCTCTAAACTACTCTTGCAATCCTCCCAGCTCTGGTTCCTCATTTCTTTAAGCGAGATATTAGGGCCAAAGCAGGTGTATATTGCATTTTCAGATGTACCCATCTCTGATGTATTCACCCTACCGTTCAAAACTGTTCTGGTGGACTCTGTAAGAGGGTGACTTGTCACTGATGTTGACAAATACATAACTTCTGATTGTAGCTCAGTTAACCAGCTGGACGACTGAGTGGTTTTCAGTAGGCTGTTGTCATTTGGAGAAGAACTGGCCGGCGATAGTTCAACCTGGAGATCGTTTTTAGCTTCTGAAATGTCCAGTTTCATCGAAAAGTTACTGTCCTCGTGGCCACTAATATTATCTGAGTGGAGACCATGGAAACTGTTGAGGTCCAATTCCGGGTAATTTAACAGGCAGTTAAAGGATAAATCTGCTTGAAGCCTTTCTTCTAATGAGTGAAATTCTTCAGTTAAAGTCATCCCTTCCCAATAATTGGTATGGAATACAGAATCATCAACGACACTCGTGCCATTGTTATAGGTGAGGGAGTTAAACAAGGTCAACGGGTCATCAGCAGTTGGTAATGCTGTGCTACTGAGGATAGGTGTCGCACTTAATCTGTTATTTAAAGTTTGCTGTTTTGGATCTGTAGGATTTCGTGTATTCTTTTTCAGATATTTCTCTAGAGAATTGGTCACGCCCAACTTTTCTTTCCGCGTCTTCTTCGTTATTCCTCTGTTTAGTTTCTGAACTGTCCGGCGTCTTTTGAAAATTCTATCCACCAACGTCTTCTCGTACTTAGGGTCCAATCTCCAAAACCCGCCCTTGCCCGGTTCTCCCTTGCCGCGAGGAACTTTAATAAAGCACTTGTTCAGGGATAAGTTGTGTCTTATTGAATTCTGCAAACAAGTAATAAGAAACGTAAGTGTTTTAATGGTCAATACAAAGTCTGTTTTAGTTCACCCGAGGAAAAAAAAACTGAATTTAAAAGTAGGTAAAAAAGTGAACAATTTAAAACTTACAAAAGTCTATGTGTAACATAATTCAAGAACTTACAAAAGTCTATGTATAACACAATTCAAGAACTTACAAAAGTCTATGTGTAACACAATTCAAGAACTTACAAAAGTCTATGTGTAACACAATTCAAGAACTTACAAAAGTCTATGTGTAACACAATTCAAGAACTTACAAAAGTCTATGTGTAACACAATTCAAGAACTTACAAAAGTCTATGTGTAACATAATTCAAAACTTACAAAAGTCTATGTGTAACATAATTCAAGAACTTACAAAAGTCTATGTGTAACATAATTCAAGAACTTACAAAAGTAAATGTCTGACATGATTTAAAACTTACAAAAGTCTATGTGTAACATAATTCAAGAACTTACAAAAGTCTATGTGTAACATAATTCAAGAACTTACAAAAGTCTATGTCTAACATGATTTAAAACTTACAAAAGTCTATGTGTAACATAATTCAAGAACTTACAAAAGTCTATGTGTAACATAATTCAAGAACTTACAAAAGTCTATGTGTAACATAATTCAAGAACTTACAAAAGTCTATGTGTGACATAATTCAAGAACTTACAAAAGTCTATGTGTAACATAATTCAAGAACTTACAAAAGTCTATGTGTAACATAATTCAAGAACTTACAAAAGTCTATGTGTAACATAATTCAAGAACTTTATGTTAAAATAAACAAATCCATGTAGAATATATGTAGAGGCGTGAATAGAAAATTGCAGGATTAATTTCAATATCAGAAGAATATTTATTTTGTGTGTGTGTGTGTGTGTTATGGGGACTCTTTTCACCACCAAAGTTGTGAACCCACGAGCAATTTGGTACATAAATGGTCTAGAAATATATATATTATACATTAATTATAAGGTTAAAAAGTTTGTTTTATTATTAAGCACAAAGCTGCACAATGGGCTATTAGTGCCGTGCCCATCGCAGGAAACCAAAGCCGAATTTTAACGTTATAAGCCATATTGAGCTCCCTTGAGCTATTAAAAAGAATTATCGCGGCTCCCCATAGTGTACTTAAACAACTATTAAAAAGAATTATCGCGGCTCCCATAGTGTACTTAAACAACACAACAAATAGAAAATCTTACACTTTGTAAAATAATAACAGTAGTAACAATGAAAAGCTTTGATTTATATTGTTAAAAAAATGGAATATTGTTAGTTAGGTTTAATATAATAATTAACAATATTTCTTAAACTTATTCTTTCAAGTCATGTAACCTTGCTCGAGAAAAGATATGACACAGCCCACGATTTTAGAACCGCTGTTTAATATTATCCATTAAGTTTACCGCTGAATCACCAGAGTGGACTGCTTATAGAAAAAAAAAGAGATTGATCATGCAGCTCAGTTAACATTCTCTTTGCCCCGTTACAGTGATCATAAGGATTAATACACGGTGTATTTAAGTGTTTTACACTCACAAAAAGAAACCTATCATTCTATAGATATTTGAAGAACTTGTAGCATTCCGCCACAATTTAATTCT